TCAATTTTATCTACAATTTTACTTATCATATAATTTTTGTAGAAAATAGTTTAGGCCTGGTCTGGATGCCACGAAATATTACAATAAAACGGTCATATCTCAAGAAAAAATCCCATAATGATAAAATTACAATAATCGCTTGAATGAGTTGTCTGGCCGCCAACCAATCGAGTCAAGTTTACAATATTCTTCATGAGATATGACAGTATTATGGAATAATAAACTTTCGCCAAATCGGCGTATATTTTACTTGAGGTGCTTGTCGACATAAGATAATTCAAGAGAACATCCAATTCTGGCGCGCCATTCTAAAAATTGACTCGCCGCTTTACGAACACAATGGGGATATGGACAGACGAGCTCGACGTCACGTGGCTTCAAGAACTCGTGTACCAAGTGACGGTCCTCGGGAAGAAGGCAAACAGCGGGTACAAGAAGGAGGCGTGGACGGTGGTCCTCAGCAAGCTCAACCGCTCGCACAATGTGGCCTTGAAGATGTCTCAGATCAAGTCGCGACACGACATCGTGAAAGGCATGTACGGTGTGCTGTCTAAGATAGTCAACAGCAGTGGCATGGGTTGGGAGTCCGAAACGTGTCGTATTCAGTGTCAAGCGACCACATGGGATGCGATGCTTCAAGGCAAGCCAAAATCGTGGGCGATGTGGCGAAACAAATGATTCCCCCAGTTCCACTTGTGCGAACGCCTCTTCCTGGGTACTCTAGCTACTGGTCAGTATGTTGTATCTTCTGTGGCTCCAATGAACTCCGACAGCTTTCAGGTCGATACGGTATCAGGGTCAGACTTTGACGAAGTCGATCATGGTGACGCCGCCGAATCTGGACGTGATGAGGACGACGTTGTTGATGTTGCTCCAACCCAAGGAGATCTCATCCGACGCAGTGCTACTGGCGTTGAACGTCCGACTAAACGACTGCGACCATCCATGGCATCCAAGCTGTCCAACGACTTTATGGTAGTGCAGGCATCGGCAACTAAAGAGCTCGAGCTGTTGTCTGAAGTCTTGCGTCCTGCAAGTACGCAACATGGATTGGACCAAGCCAAAGCAATTGATGTTTTACAAAGCGAGTTTGCCGACATCCTCGATATTGATGACATGGTGGCTGCGTTCGACATTATGGAGAACGAAACTCGAGCTGCAATGTTCTTGCGCATGACAGGAGCCCCACGAGAGAAGTGGCTACAGCATCATTTGCAACTGACACGTCGAAACGCATTGATTTGAGTAGTTGGTAGTTAGTTAATTCACTAACTACAGCATCATTTGACACTTCGAAACGCATTGATTTGAGTAGTTGGTATTAGTAAATTCACTATCTACGCAACTCACGTCGTTGGACTAAGTATTGTTGATACTGCTCCCACATGCTTTGGGCAATTCCGTCACACCACACCTTGGCTTCCTCGCTCTCAGGAGCGTCGTCGAAGTTGGCTCTGTCGTTTCCATTGATTGGTGCTTGACTCTCTGCACGGATAACGTCTGATGCTTGCCGTTCAACTTCGTCGTCGCGCCCACCGTGCAAACGTATAAAATTGTGCAGAGTACACAACGCCATGACCAATTGGACTTGGAACTTGTAGCTGTAGCGCACACCTTGAAACAGAAACGGAAATCGCATCTTCACAATTCCGAATATTCGTTCGATGCAATTACGAAGCTGTGCATGTCGTAGGTTGAACAGTTCTTGCTTCGTTTGTGGTCGAAGTCGGCCACTGGCATACTCCTTGAGGTGGTATCTCGTGCCTCGGTAGGGAGTCAGTGTCTTCGTTGTTAATGCAAAACCCGCGTCAAGGATGTCGAACCCATCAGTTGGCAGTGTCAAGCCTTTGGTGAGGGCATCCGCGTACACTTTGCCGTCGCCAGCAGTACCCTCCCATCCAGCAAGAACGAACGTGAACATCAGGTCGAAGTTGCATGCCGCAAGGACGTTCATCGTAATCCCCTTTCGTCCATGAAACGGCGCTGTTTCTGTCGCAATCACCCACACTGGGACATGGGTCCCATCAATGGCCATTCGACACTTGTTGAAATATGGCGCAAACTTCGGGTTCGAAGCTATTTGAGATGGTGTTGGAGAGCCTTCGTTGGGTATTTGGATGTACTGAGACGCCAGCTGAACTATGGACATGAGCGTGCTGTGGATGTGACGCGTGATAGTGTCTCCTGAGTGCTGAAAACGCTGTTGTAGATTGGCGCTGGATGCCTTGTGTCCGGAAAAGTACAAAAACATTCCAAGCATCTCGCGACTGCTGACATGTTGCGTTCCCACTAGTCCACCATCCGTTGTAAGCTTGTCGAGGAGGCGACAAAACGTTTCTCTTGGCATGCGAAATGTTTCGACGAACGCGTTGTGGTTTCCCATCATCATTTCGCGCATCCAAAGGTCGCCCGTGAGAATCGAGTCGCGCTTGGGGGTTTTGTAGAGGTATGCGTGGTAATGATACGAGAGGTGCATCATCATCGACAAGCAGCGACGAGTAGATGCGCGTCGGCGCAACAATAGCAGTATCATCTCCCTGCGCATGACCGGAAAGTGCGCGCAACTTTTGGATTTGAATAGGATACTCCAGACAGTTCCGAATGTTGGTATTTCTTCTATATTTTCAATTGATTTGAAACTTTGGAGAAACGTGAAAAAATGTCAAAATGGATTATGCAATATTTTATGTGGTGGCATCCAGACCAGGCCTTATGTATTTTTTTATTTTTATATATATATTGTATATTCTACTTATTCTATATATTTTATAAAAAACAAGTCTTTTTTATGGTAGCGCAACATTCTGTTAGGTTTAAAAATATCTTTTTTCGTTGTTTTATTTGTTTTGGGTAGAACTACATAAATTACCTAGA